ATCAGCCACGTGATCTGAACTGATGACTTTGACACAACAGATCCCTCTCCCTCACATCTACCGTCTGCTCCTGGAATCTCCATGGACTTACGTTCCTTGTCCTTCTTCAGCGTGCCCGTGGTCTCCTCCTTCTTCTCCTCCCCGATGTCGCGCACCAGCGAGTACTCATCATAGTTTGTGATACCTGTGATGGGGAGGTGCACATGGCCATGGGAGAATGAGCTCAGAGATGCGATTTGGGGATTAGTGGCCAAGGACATATATGACTACAGAAAACCAATACTTTTGGGGCTGGGGCAACTCTCAAGTGAAACTCAGAGTAACAGCCACAATAAGACAATAGCTAGCAGCACTCAATGTCTGCCTGTGTCATTCAACCACGGTGAAGAATTAGCCATCCCTAATCCAAAAGACAACTTTGCATTTATCTCTTGTACCACCAGAAGACACGACACCCACCTATCCTGGCACAGATTGTCATAAGCATGTCGCTGACGATTTTGGAGTCGTCCACCATGACGGTCTTGACCGTCCCGTCAAGCATGCGGATCTTCAGGGGCCGCTGTTTCTTCTTGTATTCCAGGGTGTCCTAAGAGCAGCAAAAGTACAGACATGTGGTCAGATGCCCAGGCAGACACAGCAGGTGGTTATCTTACCATGTGTGCCTGTGCTGATTACCATTAGTTCATTTGACAAATGCATGTTGCCAAATTCATGCAAGGTTTATCAACTTAACAACACAAGGCCAAATTTATGAAGCTTGAGGTTTAGGTAATAAATGCAAGTTATTTTTTATTTCAGTATATTTGCATGATGTGCAAAGACACCAGGATAATTTTCCTCCTGATAGAAGGACTATATTTCAAACTTGGTGAAAAGATGATAGCTCTATGTGGAAAGGTTCCCGCTGGCTAATGTCATTCCCAATCGTGGGCGGCGGTAAACAGAGCCGCCCCCGCCACAGGGGACACATTCCGGGACGCGCCCAGCGACGCGCTTGGGCCTGACTCACCCCGTTCCTCAGCATGTAATAGTCGAGGGCTTTCCCGGCCTCCAGCCAGATGCCCTTCTTTGGGTCCTCATCCGACAGGAACAGGCCGTAGTCGTTGGCTATGAGATAGTAGACAGGTCAGATGACAGATGAGGGCTTCTTGGTGTGCTTTGCTTTTTTTTCCTCCAAATCACCTGACATATTAAGATCTGGCGTCATGGATCATTTGGAGGGAGAGGCACGACTACAGTCAATGTTCTTCATGTAACATATGAAGAGTCAACAAGCTGAAATTCCTCAGATTCCTTGTGGGATGTGTTACCTTATCTAAGAATCACATCCCATTGTCATTGTTTTATGGGGGAGAGAGTGGGGAGGGAAATAGGGGGTGATAAATGGAAGCAGGTTCTTCCTAGTTACAAGAACCCAGCTTCTTAAGATGCTGATCATTCCACATTCCCTATTGACGTTGGCCAGTGACGGGCTCTCCAAGTGGAAAATTACTCACAGGTTAGCGCAAGTAAGGAAAGGAGCCTGCAGTTGCAAGGGGAGCCAATGGAGTTACGTAACGAAGAATGCTGGGCACATCATGCTACAAATACCAAGCCGTCAAGAAGTAAAATCCTACGGGTTAGCTCTTCACCATTACTTCCAAACTCGGGTATATATAGGGGTGGGACCACAGGGGCACTGGATCCAGCTGAAAGCTGGCTGGCCCCTGAAATGCCCCGTCTTGTCACTCACCGATTCAAATCACATCATTGGCTAATGATAACTTTGCACCCTCTATATGAATTATGACCCCCGCTTATGTCCAAAAATCCTAGAATCACCCCTCTTCCAAAGACTCAAACTTCCCTCTACCAGGTAAACATAAATGGTAGCAGAGGAGGCGCTGAATTTAGTTCCTTCTGTATCCACATTGTCAGTACAACAGAACCACAAGAAGGACCTAACCTACGAGGCTCAGAACAGTGGATTTACCTCACCCTATGACAAACTGCATGATCTCAGAACATCCTCCTAAGTATCGGAACGTCATCGAGCGGGTGTGGAATTGTGCAACTGCTGGCATCGAGACTTTTTAGAGGGAAACATAAGCCCGGCATTAACGCGACCCGGGCCTGGCGGTCACGTGTGCCGTTCTGATTCCTGCACGCAGACCCCTTGCACTCACGCTGGCCACACTGCGCCTCCGGCACCCTCTCTCGGATGATGCGGCAGGCATCGTACACCATGGTGGACGGCTCGAACTGCATGGTCTTCACCACAGTCCCCACGCCGATCTTCAGTGACAGCGCCACCATGTCTGCTTCTGGCTCTCAGCTCACTCACTGAACCTGGGGGAGGGGCAGAGAGGTGGGGAGAGTCACAGATGTTCTCAGTTCCACTGACGGGAATCAAATACAAGCTCCTGGATGTAGCGTCTCTCCTCATCAGGAGTTCTGGTTCCAGCTCGTCTCACTTTGATGCCAATTCCCCACTACAAACCCCTGTTCATCATTAACCTCTTTAACTGCGATTCCACAGTAAACATCAAACTCTTCACCAACAAACTGTCCTTAACATATTTACATAATTACCTATCGTGTTCAGGTTACACACAGCTGATATCCACACAACTTGTGGTACTCAGAGGAGCAGCACAACCACAGAGGCCGTGAGATTTGATTCTCAATTCTAATGCTGTTTGTCATAAGTGCAGGTCCTTAGTTCTTCTTCACTTCTGCTGAATCTACGCTTCATTTCTGGTTAAACAGAAACATGAAATTTGACAAACAGCACCCAAAAAATGCTGGTTGAAGGAAGTGATTCCCTTCCCAGAATTTCTTCTTTCAGTTATTGCTGCTTAGGCTAATAGCTTCCACTTGCAGGCTTGTGTAATAAACTGAGGTTTGACTGGGGCACAATTACAGCAGAAAATAAGGAACAGCATCTGGGAAAAGATATTTTAATGAATAAGGGAAAAAAAAAAAAGTCAGTGTCAGGTCTAGATACAATGCGGAAACATTTTCTGAAAGTATCTGACGTTTCCAAAATAAAGGGGTTTCTCAACATAATGGGTGTGTGAGATAAACTTCATTAGAAAATCATGACAATAATAACTGCAACAACGAAAGCACTGTGATGATATTAATTTCAACTGCATGGGTCTAGAAATCTTTACCAGTCTTCTTTTAGAAGGGACAGCCAATCAACGTTGTACAGGGGGTGTTTGCAGGGGAACCGCGAATACACGCATTCTAAAACAGCGAGTGATCCCTTGTGGACGCGTGCACCTGAATGACATGTGCAGCGCTGCATGTGCGAGATCATGCACGCTTGCCCGAAGCAGGGTTGCCTCAACACATTTGATGTAGCTAATTTTAGGTTTATGATGGAATAATATACACTCACCTAAAGGATTATTAGGAACACCTGTTCAATTTCTCAT